GAGCAGTTTGCGTGCTCGTAAGACATCATATCGAATTACCCTATGTATTTGACCAGTAAATCATGAAAAAGGTTAGCTGCAAGCGACCAATAGGCCTACAAATGCATGCACTTTCAAACCCCTTGCCATTGCTATCTCACTAGCAGCATTTCTGCAGGATGAATGAAGAAGTTCCAAGTCAATCATTCTTTCACCTGGATGACAGAAATGAGCTTGTGATGATTGACTACGTGCTTCTTAATAGCGTTCGTCTGTGGTGTGATACCTCAGATTTCCAATCCACTGAGCGACTCACTCTTAGAGAAAGTAACTGGTATCAACTTTGGGCCAAAAACTTTGAATACAGGTTCTGGAGGCTAGTGGGCCTCTTCTAGACTTGGATAGGCCAGCCCAATAGACAGACATGCATTCATTATCATTTACTACTCAGTGGGAGTGATATTTTTAGATACTACCATACTAATCAAGCCTCTTCTATTCATCCACATTTTTTGTGATGACTCGCTCCTGTTGCCTAATGAAAATGTTGAGCTGAATATAATTAGTCGCTAAGGCCAATTTAATATCATTCCAAAAAAGCGCCTCCCCACGATATAGTAGCTGCTATTATACATACAGAAGCCTTTTCTCACTGATGCTCACGGAATCTTCTGCCATAAAAGTTATTACAATCAGTTATTACAATCAGAGGGTCGCTATTAAATATTCATGGATTACACGGCTCCGCACGCTCATGCAGACAGATATATCTTCGATTTCATTGTATCTACGCTTAAAGAGCTATACAATATTTGTCAACCTAGGTGCCGAAATTCATCAACTAAAAAATTCTTTTTCCATATCAGCTGAGAGGAAAATCAAATGTACTTAGGGTCAGGGACGCGGGAGGGTTTTTTTCAGTATCGAATTACCGATAAGACAAAAAAAGGTTGCATAAAAAATGCTATAACGTGGGAAACCATCTGGGCAGTTGGGGACTGAACTCAATTATTTACGTGTCAGGTCGCTTATGATGGTTTGAACAAAGGAAGGTCAGTGTTAGTTCTCCAGTTACTCGTACCGCAATATCAATAGGCACTAAACATCGGTTCAGAAAGAATCTACGCGAACTCCTAATTTTAAAGCACTTTCTAGCGTATTTCACCGAAGAAAAACATCGTTGTAGTTCCCAACGCTCAAGTCGTTGCATTTTACCACGCCAATGTACTTTTGACAGGCGCCGTGAGAAACTGTAAGGCATCTTCTTGAATAATGTAACAACCCGGGCAATATTTCTTCCCATTCACAACCCTATCAAGCAGTAGCCTACTTCATGACTGAAGCTCCGGAAATTCCCTTTTGCCGGCAGCGACAACCTCGTCAACAACGAACACAGATGGCATGCGCTAAATGAGGATCGCACAAGGGAGCGGTGCAGACCAAACACCATAGCAACTCGTAAGCAGGCACCAAATGAAGACTGAACAAACGAAGATGCCTGGATGCCTCGAGTTCACAGCTCCGTGGTCAATTGATGAACCCTGCATGTGGAAAGCACAGCTGTTTTACCTTGATTATTGGAACCGAAAGAAATTCCTCCTCATAACCGAAACCGTATTCTAAGTAATTACTGCCACGACGGCCCTGTCAACAAACTACGGCTCTAGGAATCAATACCTTTTTTCACAGAATAATTAATCACGCTCATAAACTCGAATACTAATCAAATCATTCGCATGATGGAGCTCGTAATTTTCTGAGATCATGAATGAGCTTCCCGTAGACATTTTAGGCTAACCTTGAGATCATGAGGATAAAATCTGTTAGAGATGTTTCAATTCCTTGACAAGCACGTAAACCTTAATGGTACTTACGATGAAACTTTAGAAAAAAGAAAGCTGATAAGACCGAAGTTATATGAAAAACACAGAAAGAACAGCATACATCATCAGAACAAGAAAGAAAGGAAAGAACAAAAACAAAACGAAGATAGATTTCGTTTTGTTCCAAAGAGAATTCTGATTCAAAGCGTTTTTGGATGCTGCTTTGATCTTCTACAACCTAAGGCAGCTTCCAAAAACGGAAACCTCAGATTCATTAGCTTCATTCTATCGATTTCAGCAATGAGTACGAAGCTGCTTGGATCTCATCATTTACTTATTGGTAATGCGCAAATTGATAATCGTATGGGGAAATGAAATGCCCATGGCTACGTCCTACAAGGAAACAGTGACAATCCTGCTTGGTAGATTAAAGTCCCACTTTTTAGAATAAGAAACCTTGAATCCAAATCCGATTGAAAGCTCCGCAAAGGTGGCATCGAGCTCACCTCATGACTCGTAGATTTCCAACGCTGAGATTGAGCTACGAAGGATAATCTTGGATTAGTTCACAGTTGCAATGCTCAAGCTGTTCCAACATTTTCAGAACTTCCATGGCAATAATATTACTTTGAACTCAAGTTTGTAAGACTGTAGATTGTAGACTAGACTTCTTCGGATTTCATCTCTCTAGCCCAGCCCGAGCCTAAAAGCCTGGTCATTAACATCGAGGGCACAAAATAAGGTCGTGGCTGGCCGTGTATTTATAAAAAGATTCCATCAATACACATCTATATTTGGCTACGCAAAAACTGTATGATTTTATGAGGGCTTTTTGCCATTGACTCCTACTGAATCAACCATTTCAAGGGAATTAATGGTTCTTAAGACGTATGTACTGATAATCAGTGCACTTAAGCACTGCGGCACAGCTTTCTCTTTAGAATCTATACAATTATTCATCGTCTCTTGAGAGACATTCGGTCTCATTCATTTGCATTTTCAATCGAAATTCTTTCCTATTCCTTTGATGGACTATAAGATGTGCGCGCAAAGGCAGTAAATCCTTCATTGTCAATCCGATTCTCTTCAAAGGAGTTCTTATCGATTTTTCCGAAAATATTTACACTATTGGAATCTATTATTCACTGTTGTTCACCATTCCAAAAACCTCTTCAAAAATAGCTCTTTTTTCCAGAACTACGAGACCAAAACAATCGCCACTATGGGGGCGGAGCCTATGAGCAGAGAGCAGGCAATATCGATCTCACTACACACTCTGCACAGCATGTTGCTGTGTTGCTGTTGGCCAGTACATAAATGCGTTACGGTAAGGCTCTTATCAATCCTTATCAATCAATACTCATAAAAACTACGTATAAATAGTCCATTCTTTATTTAGGTGCTCTCCTGCTTCGATACACTTATTGTAGCGATTCTCACCTACAAATCTTTAAACCTGCTCGCAAATACTATTTATGAACCGTAAGTTTTAATCCATATTTTTGTTAAAAATTTTTGCCATTAAAAATTCTCTGAATACGATTACTGTACGCAAAATTGTATCAGCCGGTCTAAGGCAGTAAATCCAATTTGTTCGTGCCTCATTTACACAAAGACCACTCTGTGTGTGTATGTGNATTTAGGTGCTCTCCTGCTTCGATACACTTATTGTAGCGATTCTCACCTACAAATCTTTAAACCTACTCGCAAATACTATTTATGAACCGTGAGTTTTAATCCATATTTTTGTTAAAAATTTTCGCCATTAATAGTCTCTGAATACGATTACTGTACGCAAAATTGTATCAGCCGGTCTAAGGCAGTAAATGCAATTTGTTCGTGCCTCATTTACACAAAGACCACTCTGTGTGTGTATGTGGATAGCTGCGTACGAAAAGCTTTCGGCAGAATGAAAAAACGACAGATAGGGTAGCATGATGAATGTTGCTCAGAAACTTGTCCTTTCCCCTAAAACCAAAGTGATATATGATCCTATCAAGAAGCCTCCAATATTACTGGCTACAGACTTACTAGCGATCCGTTCCTTGAAGTATATATACTGAATTTCGATGAATACTTAACTAAATAATCGCCTCTTAAGGCTTCGAGATCTGTTATTCAGGCGGATCAACGCATTTTGAAAACTTTCGGGACGTTTTGAAATGAAAAGTCATCAATTACTACTGGTCTTAAGTAAAATTATCTTCTATCATGAATGAACTTAGGGCTCATTGAGGATAATCACGCATAGTAAAAATTTTTACTAGAATTACAATACAGTGGAAGAAACACTATCACAAAAACACCAAAAGGAAGTCGATATGACGTAGCGAGTATCGCCGTACGCAATTAATTCTGAAGGCCATTTTTTCTGCAAACGTTTCTAGGGCTTTTCTAGGCCTCAAACAAGGCCTTGAATCTTTGATTTTACGTGCTTCCGATTTCCGCCAACAACTTATTTATCTATTTATTTATTTATTGTTTTAGCATAGTACTGCATACCATGTTACCCCGTTATTCAGTATTCGAGATTGCTGGGGTACTGGATGAAGACCTTTTTCGCATTACTCTCAAGAACAAAGGAATGAGTGGTGTAAAGCTGGCTAGTGACTCAACGATGTTTACGGGCCTATTCAACAATAAAATAAAGAGGTTACCGGCTTCTATTTGCAGCTAGGCTTATGCAAATTGGCTTTCATTTGAGCAGTGATTGACGCGAAGGCAATTAATGGACTTTTCTTAATGCATGCAATTTACTGCTTGCACCCTTTCTTATCGATTTTCAAAATATTTTTCTCTATGGAACTGCCATATTTTCGGAAATTTCTAAAAATTCATTTCTAATACGAATCCCTTGTCGTTTTCCAATTGATACATAAATAGCACCGGTGTAAATCAGAATCCTCATATGGAGCGCATTGCTCCATCTAAAGAGTCCTTCAATGATGCTCAGATAGAATCCTCCTTTGCGGCAGCTTTGCCTAAGAAAAGTACCACTTTTTACAACGTTTTACCTAAAAATCCTCCTTGTTCTCTATTCATGTTGGCCGCTGGCAAACTTTTTGTTTTGTCCCATACCTTTTCGCTCCTCTAACTCACGCAAGACCTCATCTCCTATTCAAAGCCGAATTTATGTTCTCCATATCTTTTATCCAACCATTCCCCTTTTTCTTTTCCTCTTATTTCCTAGTCAACTAAAATAAATCTGGCTAATAAAAGATAATAATGGAGAAATTGTTCTCTCGCCCATCATCCAGAATCTATTGACTATTCCGCCTCGAATCCTCTGAGGGCATGGGAAGTTCTTCACAAAAAGGCATACTGCGGCACAGATAGTCTCATAAACTTTGAAAATGTTTACTGTCTCTGACAAACTTGTCTTTCTGTCCTTCTTCAAGCACCATGTTTTCGCCCTCTTCCAATAAATCGTAAAGTTTTTCTCAAAGAACAACAAATACACTCATTTCTATTTTCATCTTCTGCTCTCTCGTACGGCTCCCACTGTCGAACTTCGATTGTTCTTTTTCAGACTAGGCCATTCTAACGCTTGCACTAATACCGGCTTCATAGTGGAGCAAAACGTTTGTGTGGAAGTCTTCTCAAACGTATAATGACTCGCTGCATGATATTTCCTTGAAAGGGTGGCGCTGTACATAACAGCTCCCCACGGGATGTACCCTCTTCACCCAAGGACGTCTCTGGGGAACACTTCTTGAATGTCACATGAGCGTGCTACATTATATTTGAGCCAATTGACCCAGTATGCACGCCCTAGAGACAGCCTTTATGGCTGATTGGAATCAGAAAAAGGAAAACTGCGAAGTACAGGAGTTTACCAAAGGCGACTGAATAAATTCCAATAGAATCTGTAGAATCTAGCAGAATCGTAAGACTGAAACTTTAGTTATCGCACGCTACAATATTCGTCCGGGAAAGCAGGGTTCGTGATATGCTTAAGTAGTTCTCTGAAAATTGTCAAAAAAAAACTTTATTACACCCAACCACCCACTGAATATTTCCTTCCTACCTTCCTAATCGATTTCTCAAGTCTAAATAGGATTAGCTCGGAAACCCAGTCAGAAGTAATGGGAAGACAAATTTTTATTGATTCCTTAGAAACTAGTCAAGTCTTCGTTCTAAATGTGTGGAAATCATAAAACTGAAAATTCCTCTCATAAAGGGACAATGACTTAGAGGATCAAATAAATTCAAAACGGCCCCATGATGGTAGCTTTTTTAGCTAAGACGTCCTAGATAAGCTACTGTATCTGAAGGAAAAAGAGTAAAAAAAACTATGAACGAGAATCCCATCATTATTTCTCAAGCACGTATCCTCGAAAGCTGAAGGATATGAAGTTTTCAATTTTACTTTTTTCTCGGGTTCACTTTAGAATTCTCTCTGTTCATCATGAAAACTTATTTAGAAGTTTATAAGAAGAAGTTATAAAAAAGCAAAATTATATAAAACAGTATAACAAAGGCTTCTTTCCTAGGTATTGCCATTTCTATTACTAAGTACTGCAGTTACAATTAATTTCAAAAAAAAAAACAGATCTATTTTGTGCATATGCGCTGCAATAGGGAAGAATAAGTCGAAGGGACCTCTCAACCGGGACCCTAGTCGCACGAGCTTGATATCTTAAGAGGATAACTGATGTTCAAACCATAACGGATGTTTTCGCTCAAATGACAAGACGTCTTTCCTGCTATCCTAAGAAATACTAAGGGCCTTTACGAGTTTTCGAAAGAAGGAAATGCAATTAGACAAGAACCTTAATTCAAATCAAAGAAGAAATTATCGGTTTCATTATCCTCGCTATTTTCAGGCACTGGACCACGATTTTCTCGTTTTTCTTCTTTCTCTGTTTTTTCATCTGTCAACTGATCGCTACAACTTTCATTATTCTCGCTCACAAGAGGAGTATAGCACGCTATTGCTATCCACGGTAAGTAAAAACTTTTATAGATAAGGTTTTTGTGAAACTCTGCAGAAACGAGCAAACCATCACATGGATGCTTGTTGCAAAGTGTGTTTACATTTGGTCTATGATTCGGCGATCAAAAACCAATGCAGCAAACAACGATAGCAACAACAAATCAACTGCAGATTGGCTTTCGGCTCTCCTCGCTCGCGACACCTATTCATTATGAGGCAATATGAGGGCTATTATCAACACACACAATCAATCTGAAGACACTTGACGACAGAGAAAAAGAAATGTTTTTTCTATTCAATCCCTTTAAATACTCAAGGCATCTGGTAATAATTTCAATAACTGAAGACAACTTTTACCTCTCCCAAAGCATTTCGGCTTTTGAACAAAAGAAAAACAGCTGTCAAAAGGGTAAATGAAACCGCGAAAGTGCACCAGAGCAATTCTACTCACTTCCATTTAGGAAAGAGAGTAGAAATCTTCCTGATTTGGAGATTCGAATTGAAATGAAGTCCTTTCAGGTTAGCTCTCATTCTTGGACTCATTGTGTGCTCCGGTTTGGCATGTGTCATAATTTTAATTTACTTTGGTGGGGCACAAACCTCTATGACAGCTTTCTTCTTTAGGGTATACGAGGTAAGTATCAATCTTCTTTTCAAGTCTGATTATCTGCGCTTGAATTAGTGGCATGCTTTTACAACCCAGGTTGCGCCGCAGTAATAAGTCAAAAGTCCCAGACTTCGGAAGTAAACGAGGTCAAGTGTAATAGTGAGAAAATAGCTCTGCAAGTACGATCAAGGACGGTTTCGATCGTTACACGATATCCCCTTCCCCTCTGTTGCGGAAAATTCTTCGCTTTTTCTCATAGGATCCCATCTTTATTAGGATCCCCGCTCCACACGCTAACTATAGCCACAGCGGTTCCGCTATTACGTTGACGAGGTAGAAGGGAAGGTCAAACCCTCGAATTAAACCTATCCTTTTGAGCATAGATCTTGGAGTAGCCATCCCCCTGAGCACAAGTTCATTACTTTATTTTCAGTACTTCTTCGGTCAAATAGACGATCAGGAAAAGGCAGAGCTGAAATCTGAGCTCAAACTTTATGCGGGCGCTTTTTTCGCCCTTGCACTGACATTTTGTGTATACAGGTATCGTTTTCGATATCCTCTGGTAATATGAGCTCTATACGGATTTTGCTAGACCTAAAATCTGATTTCATGAAGAAGTTAGCGTTTCGTTTAACGAAACCTCACTATTCAGCGCATTCGAGTTCTTTCTTACGCGGAAGTTCTACCAGACGCTGCTAGGATTCGCCCCGATTCCTCAGAATGATCCAACGGCTCCAATGCAACCGGCATACAATCCTGATTTTGCCCAAACTCCAGGCAAAATTTATCCTAATTTGTGAATGTTCTTCAAAAAAATTAGTTCTATTCGACTCGAACAATGGTGACTGAATGATCTCATTTAATTTTACACCGAACGGCAATTGTTGACTAGATAGGCTCTCATGAATTCATTTCGAACCCTAATTGTTTCTTGTTTCCCTCGCCCCTTCTACTTGACTTCATCACAGTCAAGGAGCTGTTCTGGTCATTCCGATTTTTTGGTGTTTTCGAGATGAATTTGCTGAATCATTGCGATAGGAGCTTAATTTGAGAATCCGTCGACTGGTCATAATAAATTATCTACACTTGTAAAAACCCATCAAGTGATAGTTGATTGTTCTCCAAGTACGAGAAAACATGGAACTAAGGAGCAGAGGCAAATGTAATAGCATTTCTGTCGATTACTTACGAAGAAGTATCTTCCCTGATCCCAATAACTTTACTCTTAACTCCTAGACCATTCCATTATACCATACTGATGAGTGCTGCAATCAGCAGTTTCGAATAACAAATGAATAGGCCAATTCTCGAAATTTCCTCTCATAGCATAGCTTTGGTTTCATTCTATTGAATGTTCCCTTCTTTATTCTACACTACAACAGTCGCCTATGATTATTGCCGGTTCTGTCCGAAGATCTCATGTCCATTTTTGTTTCGTTTGATTGAATGGGCATCTATATAAAGTCTTCTCTAATCCAGTGTTGCTCAAAACATTATTTGAAGCCTTTCAAAAGTTGAGCAAAACGGGACACGAACAAGCTTCAATTGACACTCCGTATTAATCTGCTGCCTGATATACGGTAATACTCTTTATCTCAAGTTGGCATCATGTGTTAAACGGGACAGTACAGCAATCTACAGCCAATTATTATATTGACTGGTAATGACTGTACCAAGGTGCCTGTCGTTGTAACTCATATTTCGCAGCTAACCAATTACTTCAGGTTGCACATTTGACTTGGATAGTTAAGTGTGTTCAACGGCCTATCCCCAATATATTGTAAAAGTATCACAGTAAAGAAAAGTGAAAGACAAAAGAACAAGAGGGCAAAACTATTAGAAAAATGTACTCTGAAAATGGAATCTCTACCTATGAATAGATAAAGAAACTGACCTATATTGGTCTCACAAGTAGGACCTTCCCATCCTGGTAGGCATTTACATTTGAATCTGCCCAGTTGAGATGGAATGCAATCAGCACCATTGCGGCATGGGTTAGCTGATGAACAAATATCCTCAATTTCTTTACAATCCGGTCCAGAGAAACCGGTTCTAAAAAACAAATTGTACTATACTCCCAACTGTGGGGTTTTTCAGCTGAATTACTGGTCACCTGCACAAACACTTAGTAGTTCCAAGTCCTGGTAAGTCATGGCAAACGCCGCCATTAGGGCACGACACGCCAATACACTCATCCATTCCGAACTGGCATCGGGATCCGGTGAAGTCTTAAACGTTTTATATGAGCATCGCGAAAAATTGGCTACTAACTCCTAGAATCAAAAACTATTAAAGCGTTGAACTAGTTCTTGCTTCGGGAGTGGCAAAAAGCAACAGCGGTACATATGTTCGATTGTTCGGACGTTTAGTGACATTCATTGGAATCGGTAGCCCATTTAATTGGATGAGCTTCGAAAAACGGGTCCGAAAGGGAAGAAGGACCTGTGAGCCGGCGGAGAACCGTGAAGGATCATTAGGGCGCGAAGATAGTCGGTTTCTTACACACACATATATGATTTCCTTCGACCAATGGTTCACTTTGAGCAACAATACAAAAATTCTAGAGGCTGCTGTTACCTAACCGATGGTGAACAGTAGCCACGACCTTATCGTCAACGAGCACCTGTCTCGCTGCTAGGGCTCGAACAACTGTTTAATCGCGCATAATAATTGCTGCCCTCCCAAGTGCTACCTTTCTAAGCATAAGGTTCGATCACTGTTTCGTAGAAAAGGTTAGTTAAAGTTCCTTACTTTGCGGACAAATGCATCTGAACGTGCCGGCGATCGCCTCACATTTTCCCCCATTAAAACAAGGAGACGAGTCACACACTGGCTCGATTGACTCGCACCGTTCACCAACGAATCCAGGACGGCATTCACATACTGCGCGATGATCGCGTACAACGCATTCGGCCTGAAAATGAGCAATTAGTATGAAGTTCTATATAACTACTGAAGAAAAGAGCTAAAATACATGACAGCGTTGTTGATGATGTGATAAAACTCCGAGTTATTTCTGTTTCTTATATTGTGGGAGGCTATAAGAAGGATCAATTTCGCGGTAAATAAATCTTATTCCCATTTCCGATAGGCTTTTAACAACAAAAAGGAGAAGATGCATGTGTGTAAGCAAAAGTACTGCAGCACTAAAGGCCCCACAAGGCATTTTCCCGATTGGAACTCAATAGGCAACAGTCTGGGGGGCCGCACTGGTGGTCCCACTCCCGTCTGAAAAAATAGGATCTTCAAATCAAGTTCCGATGCGTGTCTGTAGTCAGTGCACATGCACACATCCCTTCAAAAGAATTAACGAAAAAAATGGACATATATCACCCAATCGTTCGATCTAAAAGCTGCTGCTTCACCCCCTATCCCCTACCTAATAAGCTTCTGACTATGTAATCAATGTTTCCCTAAAATCAAGGGAATGCGACCCGGATAAAAGTATGATGCACAAAACCCACTTTATTCTCGCATTGTTTTGCCGCACAATCAACCGCTTCACAGGCTGATTCAGCACTTTGGCCTTCACTTGATGTGGCAGTGTGATTTGAGCACTGGATACATCTAAATATGAGCAATTAACAGTTACCATTACACAATTCACAAGAAGGCTAACTACGCAGAAACCTATCGTTAGAGATAGATGTCACAGTATAGAATCACTCGAGATAACCGAAAGGCAAAAAATTGCTCCCCAAATAAAATTTAAATAATGGAAATTGTTCGCCCCATACACATCTCTGACGACCCCAAAAAAAACTAGAATACCACTCACCGCTGCTGCCCAAGAGCTGGCTGGTAGTGATGCAAAGGACATGGAGAGCACGGTTCTAGCCCTGATAGGCTGAAGGTGCCTGGCTGACAAGGCTGCTTGCAATGGGATGGGCCACTGGAACCAAGTCGAGCAGTGTAGGTGCCACTCGGGCATGCTGTGCACTTCTTGAAACCTCCTGAAAACTGCTTTATTTGCATGACCCACGTTAAGGCAATTTCGGTCTTAAAGGAAGTTAAGGTTGCAAAATTCACCAGCCACAGGCGGCCCAGAGAAGGAGTGACGCGGGCACAGTTGGCAAGGAACCAATCCGGTTTGACTGTACATACCATTGCCGCAGATAGCTGTAATATATAGTTGTTAAAAAATTCTATTCAAACAAAATAGATTTTTCAAAATGAACACGAAAAGCGAACACGCACCTAGACAACTCCTCTGAGAGTGCGCACCCTGGTACTGAGTGAATGTCCCATCCGGACAGGCCTTGCAAGCCAGTTGCCCGGCTTCATCTTGATATGAACCCAGTGGACATCGAACGCATGTGTTGTTCACATTGACCGAGCCGACGGGGCAAGGCACTAAAGTAGGGATATCTCAGTCAAGGAAGTGCTCTCTGTGCAAGATGACATAACTGAAGGTCTAAGGTGAAGTACTTAAGAAAATTTACACTTTTGAATGTACTTCTCTTTTTCACGCCCTGTGCGCTTCCGCAGATTAGTTATTATCAGATCCTATTCGAAGTTCTATGTCTCTTAATGACTATTCATTCTACAAAAGTATTCATGAGAGGCAACTCACAGCATTCAGGAAGTTGATCATCCCCTTGACGCAGCACCTCACCATCGACACAACCGAATCCTTGACTTATGGATGACCTGAAATCGTCATGACTCATTTTGAAAACGTAACAGCATGAACGGTTGTCACAATCACTTCGCATTATACGAACTGATTCAACAGAAAGAAGTCAGTTTGCATAGCTCACTTAGAGGCAGTCAACTGGGGACAACCGAGGCCTTGAGATGGGATCGATTCTCCATTTAGTAAAAGAAGGTTGCGGATTGGGGTGGTGGCACCTAAAATTATAGTAACTATCGAGAGTACGGAAAGAAGATACAATACGATGAGATTTGTACTCACCAGGAATGCGGAGATCAAATATTGTTCTGAGTGTGAGACCACAAAGATCGTAGAAAACACCTTGCAATACTGTCGGTAAAATCTGGATGGTATAGTTGCCGTTAACCTAAACTCCACACGATTCATTATTGAATAAAGGAGCCGGCATAGGAATAAATTAAAGGCAACTCACCATGCCTTTCTGATTCACAAATTCCGCGTCAAGGAATCTTACAAAGACTTGTACTGAGCTGGAGCATCTCTGGCTGAGCACCTCGTCTAGTGGATCAAAGGATGCGGCTGCTAGAGATGCATAACCCTAGAAGTTACTGCTGATCATAAAAGCCACTCTCTCTTGCTGAGCTAAAGAGCACCCTCTCAGAATGAATCACGTAAGATGATAAAAAAAAATCCACGTCAACACCATTGACAATTATCCCCTTCAGAAGCCCCAATTGAGAAGCTTACTCAAAGCTAATCCCTTGATAATCCCTAAACGGAACGAATATCTCTGAATGCTCCAGCTATGTGTATCTAGGTCGAGAAGTCAACATGATGAACGACCTAGCTCCGGAGCTGAGCAGACGGAAACGCGCGGCGTGGGGAGCATTTAAGAACATCGAGGGAGTAGTGAAGAAAACGAAGAACATCCGGCTCCGCGCTCACCTTTTCGACACTGCGGTACTTCCTGCTTTGACATACGCCTCAGAGACTTGGACTCTACGAAAGCAGGATGAGCATGCAGTTAGCGTCATTCAACGCGCTGTGGAAAGGACGATGCTCGGAATTTCCCTATACACGCAAGTGCAGAAGGGAATCCGGAGTTCCGAGCTCCGTCGACGAACGAAGATCAGGGATGCCGTTGATTACGCCAAGAGATCGAAGATCAGGTGGGCCGGACACGTTATGCGATATAATGATGACCGTTGGACCAGGGCGGTTACGGACTGGATCCCTCGGGACGTCAAGCGAACACCAGGACGGCCGCCAACGAGATGGTCAGACTTCTTCACGAAAGCTCTGAACGAAAGGAATGTATTGCCCCGTGTCCCTCGAGCGAGTGCGATTCACTGGACTACTCTGGCTCGCAACAGGGACGAATGGAGACGTTACTGGCGCCCGCTCGAGGAAATCGACGATCAACGGGAGTACAGGTGATACAGGTGAATCCCTTGATAAATTCGGCTCAACCGGTGGAGTCACAATTTTCAAATGACAATTTGTGGAATAGAGATAAGAAACTAAATGAAATCAAATGTGTTACCTTAAGGCAATGCTCTGGGACAGGTGACGTGCTCGGATAACTGATATCCACATTCAGTTCGTAACGAGCTGGTTCCCGAGCTGAAAAAATCGTTTTATCACCAAACCACATCTTAGCAGATCTCAGCAAGGAACAATGAGGAAAACGCTATCTGTTAAGTAAAACTGACAGATTGGTACACATGCTTGAGCGATGCCAGAAGGAGACCAGCGACCTGATTCGCATGTGAACTCTTTCACTACCTGAAACAGTAGACTAGTTCAGAAGGTCTTATCTCATCGACTCCAAATAAAAGGAGTACTAGCTTCATCAACTTCATGAGCTGTTCTCAAAAACAGAAAGTACCTTCTCTTCATCCACAAATCTGTATCCCTTTTCACAAGAAATAATGCAGGTCATCACATCTTCCTTTTTCGAGCATGTTTTTACAACGTGCTGCGCAGATGACAACGACTCCGGTGAACATGGCTGGGCTAAATTTAACACATCACAATCTTCAAAACATTTCAAGGAACAATTACGGGTAACAATTCATAAACAGCACAGTTCTCGGTGCTGAACAATTGACATCGAGATGGGTTAACACATTCTTGAAGACAGTAGAGTTTTGAAGATTCAAGATTTTTTCAAGTAAGCCTTAGGATCTAGTGACCTCCCTTTCACACTTCGACACTTTTTTCCTTACAGAAGCCATCATAAACTATGGTAAGGTGTAGGGCAGATGGATCTGATGTATGCATGACCATGTATGAACACACTGGTGGTAGCAGCACTACCTGCACTACCTCGCTAATCAAAATCAACTTCAAATACATACAGACAGAGATCTAAAATTGCAGTAAATAAGTCCATTCTTCAACTCACGCATGTAAGCGACCTGGAACTTGCACTGATTTCGATTTGCCAGCGCATCAGTCGCTGTCACTTCAACTTCAACAAAGTCTCCAGGCTCAAGAACCGCTTCAGCAGGATTGAAGACCACCTGGAAAACCCATGTAAATTTAGAAAAAGCATAATTTTCAAGAGATAAATTTACTCATTTTNGAAAAGTCATCAATACCTCAGTAATATTCGAAATATCCTGTATGACCATCGGTACGGTGGTTATATTGAAAACAGCTCGCATTTTTGGTTCGAAGGCAGCCAAAGAATAGGAATCTGGACATTTCATCACAGGCGGTATGGTATCTGAAGCAAAAAAATGTTAGAAGTTGAAAAGATTAAGCATAAACTAGCCGAGGGATGCTCAAAGTCAAACTACGTTCTGCCCTACGTACTCCACTCAGACCTAGAACCGCAAATGCTTCCAGTGGATATCAGGTTTTCGCGAATCCTCGTAAATCAGTTATACAAAAGCTTTACCATTCAGTGCGTGAGCTCTATTTCCACCCGGAAACTCAAAATCACACTGAAGTTACTACTCATGCATGATATCAGCAGGTATAATAGAAAAACAATCCTCATCCACGACTGTTTGTGTGCACATTCTACGCGATGGTGAATTCGAAGGGATGACCAACACAATTCACCCCATTCCAGTAAAATGAGAAAATTATCGCTGACCAGGTATTCGAAGCTTCACCACACATTCCGCGGAGTTTCCAGCATCGTCAAATGCCGTATAGACAACATCAATATCGGAGGTAATCAGACGTCCTGATGTGAAACCAGTGGGTTCTACTCGCATGTAAGCTATCTAAAACTATGTAAGCCTATAGCAGTTGCAAATCAAAACCATACAGACAATATGTTTGAAATGATCCCCTTTCAGGACACGCTGCCACTTTAAATAAATCCTTTTTTGTGAACTGATTTTCAAGTGTCACTTACCCTTCCACTGTTGTCCTCAGCCTTCGGCTCCTCGTAACGGACCGGTTTAATTTGCCCATTCTCATCTGTTTCCGCAAATATCGGGTTCAGAGGACAATTTCGGAACGAAGGAGGTTCAGCATCCATACACTGTGGTACAGATCCATTCCATCCGACCTGAAAATTACGGTTATACGAGTAGATATAAATAGACAATAAACTAATTAGATCTCAAAAAGGTTTACTACGCACAATGGTACGACTACACAATTACGCTTCCAGTTTCAAGGGAATTATCCATTTTCTCAATGGAAAACCCGTCAGATAAGGATTAAACTACTGACCATTCGAGAGAAACCTACTGGACTTATTGGATTGAAACAACACTCTATCGAGATCACTTCAGTTGCAATACCCTTCAAAACGTACTTGTAGATGCGGTGGGATCTCATGCGAAAGTGTCATCGGAGCCAAACATCCCAACAGATCAAAACGAATGCATGGACTTCCTTCATATTCTGCTACACCAAGCAGTATGTACCGAGCACGAAGGGGTGGCGTTAACTCGAATTGATGCATCGCATTGTGGTTTCCGGACGGTGTTTCGAATTCCTGCAAAAAAAAATCTCCATGTAAATGGATAAGAATAAATAAAAGCCATACATATGAATTTCTCATGGATAAAATATTATCTCCACGATAATTAAAATTCAATTGGAAAAAAATTGATTTGGAGACATAAAGGGTACGTTAACTCACAACTGGGTAAGTATCATAGTTCTGGCTGAACTGCGTTTTGTAGAATAGCTGCATTTTCGTCACATGTCCTCTTAGATAGCCACTACCAGCTACACCAGCCATACGTAATGTTGTCAAAGTATAGATTCTGAACAAATGATGCTACTTGCTCCTCAGGTTGTAAATGAAAAACAGAAATAGCAACATGAACGTAGAGTTGGACGAGCAGAGACAACAACGAGTGTGGGAGAGAATATGGTGGCATTTATAAAGTCAGCGGCACAGACTCATCTTAAGAAGTAATTATGACAACGCGATGTTACTCACCTTTGCAGATCCACACTTAAGAAGATGAATGCATCCTTGGAGCCACACCATCCGGTTGATGAGAGTCGTGCCTAGAAATATGCGAATGTCTCTTATGCCCACCAAGTCCTTCAACAAAGTTAAGCCGGCTATCTCAAGCTTTTGTCATAACGAAGAATTCATCAGTACACAAAACTAAATTCATCTGGCTCTAGATTTCTAAGAAACATCTTTTCCTACGCTTCCTATTCATGTAGGCTTTTATATTAACTATGGAAAGTTTCAAGAAAAATTTCTTCTGCAGTGAACTTCCGTTAGTTTACTGATTATACAGAATTTTGCACTGAAATGCGCTGCACTAGAACCACAAATGACATCACGCTGCATTCATTTACGAGTAACATCCTCAACCCACTGTAAGTGATGCTGTGAAAGCGTGACGATAGTTAATCGACTTTCATGATTCATCTGTTTCAGGGCGGAGCTAGGACGATCGAAGCTGTCGAGGAGTCGGCCAGACGTCGGACAGTAGGACAGTCGCCTTTCTCTACAGTTCTCTTGCATCTTGGGGCGCTGTCCCAGACACGAAGATCTGTTTGTCAACCTAATACATTCTTCGCTTGCCTTTATATATATACGTTTTCATATCGTGTTATTTATACATTCGTATTCCGAGCTATTATGAGATGTTATTATCGTTCATTTGGTGCTATTCATATCTGTGCCTTACATAGTCCATCTGCTCTGATCATTATTTTCATAATAAAACTTAGTCAATTATTAGTCCAAGAGGTACAAGCACGATCCGCTGCGCGCGCCAGCTTACTCCACTCATGACGAACGCACATGTAGCACCAAATCCTGCAGAGCTTTCCTTTACCTTATGAGGTTCATAACCCCAATTGGTGTTGTCAGAATTGTCGGAAAAGGCTCCATCTGGAATGAATCCTGACGAAATTCCAACATCTTCGCTGAGAACACAAGCGGCACCAAGTGCACATTGTATCGACGCCGACGGGAATGGACGATATCCTGTAGGAACTACTATGAGGACTTATTTCACACTGAATGCCAAATAGCTTATGCAATCTTCAGATAACTCGCCTTTTCTATTGCACGAGTACTTGGCTATCGCTCCTTCTTCTACGCTCTCAAGTTCAATAGAACCGTCATCGGGGAAGCCCGGATCTACACAGACTGGTCCTGAAAAATTTACCAACTCAGAGAAATCAGAAAGCAGCGGAAACTAAGAAGTATTGTTGAAAAATGCCCTCAACTGGTTATGAACAAAAGTTACTTCCAACAGAACGAACCTTCACAGCGTAAATCTCCGAGATCCCATGATGCGTCAACACCACAACGTACACTCATGTCACCAGCTGACGATTTACCAACCAGTGAGTATGGCGGACGACAAGTGAATGTGAGCGTAGATCCTACCTTCAAAGGAATGGACACAATTAAGTATTGGTGTCAACCAAATCTCAGTTCTCTGGCAAACACCCCTACATAGATTTGATGTATTTCCGTGAAAGGATTCCTTTTATTCGATACTCACCTTGTAACTGTTATGATCACCTTCGTAAATTGCACCAGCAAGAACAGGAGGAGGTCCACAGTCCACAAATGGGCATTCGGCCGCAGGGCCTGACAGCCAGTATTCCCTACCGTCCGGTTGGGGATCAAAAATGCATTCTCGGAAAGACGCCAGTGGTGAAGTCCGCGCTGAAGGAGCTTCAATTAGTGGGCACTGGCTTTTTGAAATCACGGGCATATATGGGTTTCACAAGGATTGCTAAGACGATCAAGCGTATTGAAACCAACCAGGCCTATTCTGTTGTGTGCAAACTATAGAAACATTTTGACCATAGGCAATGGTGCTATTCTCCGGTGATACAAACAAACCAACAGCCGAGTTATTCTTCAATCCTTGACATGTGGCTGCTAAAATAAATATTTTCAAGGTTTTTTCATGGCAAAAGATTCAGAGAACAATAAGCGTCCAATACTCAACGTCATCTTTGTATTTGTTGGGGTACACTTTTTAGCAGTTGATTCTATTCTATCAATCCTATCAGTCCATACTAGCCTCACCTATAGTAGCCTTATAAATACCTTTATCTCGTCAGGACTGAACTGTGACTTTGATTTTACAAATGTGAAGGGATCGATTTTTGTTTAGAATGTAGATTGTTCATAAAACGCATAAGAAATACACAACACAAAAGTCAAGAGAATCAACTTCATAGTCCTTCCGCCGTTCTCAGAAAAATCTTGATCAATATAACTCTCTTTGATTATGCACGAAATTATGTATTCTAGGACATACCTTAAAAGAAGAAAAAAAAACTAACGCAAACAAAACGGTGTGGTGCCGTTCCAGGAACCGTCCGCAAGGCACTGGAGGAAATTAGGTCCCATCATCTAAATACAGTAAAGGAACACTCTCAAAGTTGAAAATTGATCAAAAAAGCAACATTTAAGCTAATGAGTTGAACATTTACAGCACCTGGTAACCGAAGTCACACTGGAATTGAACCGACATGGGATAACTGAATTTCTTCAGTGTGCTCAACAGCTTTCCATTTTCTGGTGAATGAATTTCGGGGCATGAACGTGGAATACAGGTCTTGTTGTACCTGTAGAAGAAAGTTTTTATCGATGGATCGCGAATAGATTCCTAGCGACAATTTGGCATGCCAATGCTGATAGATTTTCTGTTTTCCGACTAAACCTTAGTAACAGCTTGGGAAGTCAAACTTCTTATTAAATTTATACGGCATTTTTCACAATCACTAAGTGAAACTAAGCAAACTAAAATAGGCTCTTCATTCGGGGAAATCCGGCCATATGACAGAAAGGACCGGATGGATTTTCAGTTGCACACAGTGACTTACTTGATCACATCCAGTGGGTGTTCACCCGTCTCCCCTTCTTTCAACTCAACTCCACCTTGTCCATTTACAGTAAACAAATCATAGCCTTCGCGACAGGCACACTGAAAGTGAAGATCACGTTGTCTTGACAGCAATAATTAAATTCTTATGGAAAAAGAAAATATACATGAAATGCTCTTATCGTGAAGGCAGAAAATCCAAATGCATCGAAATAATCTGGTCGGAACATAGAGCCAATATAAAGACAGTGTTATTAAGATGACGAAAGTTTACGATTTTATAAGAGGCATACCTTGTATGAACCTTGCTTATTGACACAGATTTGGTCACAATGACCGTTATCCTTCATACACTCGTTAATGTCAACACAGGAAGACTTCTGGCAGCCGAGAAGCTCGATCTGAATGGACGTAGTGGCTCGGATTAAACAACATCCAATTAATTCATTTGAAAAGTTATGTATTCTAAAGCCAAATCCGTTTCTGTGGCTTCAAAACATTCTAAAACAATGAACAAGGTGAATAAGTGGAAACATTCCACTCCAAGGCAGTAGATGAGCTTTAAGGGAGACAACCAAAATATCTGCCCTTACTATAAAATCGATGTTATGGAGGCTACCTTTTGTGATGCGTGCACTTAGCAAACACATCAAGAGCTGAAGCTTACTTTCATACATGCTCCAGCCTTGAACGAAGCTATGGAGATTTGTAAAATGCGGGATTCGATGGTGTATGGGAGTTCGAAAACGTCACCGGAGGACGAAGGGCTAACAGCAAACTCCTGAAAAACGCGGTGCCAAGCCACTCGATGATTTTGCAGCTAAAAATTGTTTTAATAAGAATTTTAGAAACACTCACATCTTTTCCATCAACAGATAGTTCTCGAAGAGGAAGTCCTTCCTCGTCACTATAACGGATTCGGATTGAAGTGACTTCTCCCTCAACCATCTTATGGAACCTGTAATGTTAAAAATCAGGGAGCATGGAATTGCACAAAAACGTTGGAAAGGGTGTACCTTATTTTCTCAATTACTTTTGGAACGGTAAAGTGTAAGGTAACAGATTTTTGGCTGTCAGAGTTCGCGGCGCACCAACCAACCGTCGACAGCACGGAAGGGAGCACAAATTCGGACGATGTGACCATTGATGAAACAGTCAAGACCGAAGGGGATGGGCAAACTGAATGTATTTAGAATAAGGAGCACACAAAGAATGAGGGTGAACAAACGAAATGTGTGCAGGGATCGGACAAAAAATAATACACTGGGAAGATAGCTTATATACCTAACTGTGGTTGGAAACCACTCAAGCACTGGCAAGTGTATCCTCCGGGAAGGTTCATACATTTCGTTGAAGCTTCTTGACACTGAGCCAAGCCTTCAGCGCATTCGTCTACATCTCGACATGACGGAACGGTGGATAGGGACTGGTTGGCTAGACATTTTACCTAAATCATAGGTAACAACCCAGCTTCCAGAACGAGTAGCTGTGAAGAACAGCTTACTTCTTCCGGTCCATCAGCTCGGAATCCGGCATCACAATGAACACGTGCAGCATCACCGAATTTGAAAGGTTGCGGTAGACTCAGGCGTCCATTAATAATCTTCGGGGAGGACGAACACGTCAGCTCTAAAAGTTTCATTGAATTGTTGAAATCCAAGATCAATCAAAAATGCTCGGACTGATTATACCATTTCAGACTTTACAGAATTCAAAAATTGCCGCACGTTCAGTACTATTTCTTTTTCAAATCAAGCGCAACACGCACGTCTATCAGTCTCTCTTCTATTATACATATCATCACTAAAAGCAAACCAAGTAAAACTCACTGATGCATTTCGGTTGCTCGAACGACCACTGTCCATCAGTTTTACATAACAATGTGGCTGCACCTTCACGCCGGTATCCTGGGTGGCATTCAAAACGGAACACGGTCCCGTAACCAGTTCCGTCACCGAATTCAAGCCGACGGTCTCCATTGGCGAACGGCAATAGAGCAGGGCACATCGCAGCTAAATTCGAATCTCTCTCTCACAAGATCCTGTTTTTCAGCGATTTAACAATAAAATTAAAGGAACCTCATACTCTTCTGAATTTCGACGAACTCCGACCAAAGAATCATGTATAACAACAAGGAACTATTTTACTTAACAATTTGAGGCATACACTCAATTTTGCAAAACGTATTCCGATGCCGGGAATCGAACCCGGGCCTTGCGGGTGAGAGCCGCAAATCCTAACCACTAGACCACATCGGACGTAGGCACTACTGGCCGCCAAACGTTCTTCAGCACCGCCCCCGGTTGTCAAAAGGCAATACTCAAGAAAATCATCCTGTTGTGCGATATACATATTTCCCAGAGATGGTAGTTTTTCATAAGAAATGCAGAGTTCTAGCTTGGTTGAGTAGCTCAGCCTCTGTGATCCCTTGATGAATTGCTACGATAGCATCTGATAATCCTAGTTTAATGCTTATTTTAATACAATTGGTGACTTTCTATTGCCTTTAGACGTCATGCTATCATGGTGCTGAGAAGAAAACTGAAAAAAGGACTGCAAATTTCGTTCAAACTCAACATGGAACCTAAATATTTAGCATAAACTTCGGCAACTGGCAAGCGAACTGGTGACTGAAGATTGAAACCTAAAGGCACTAAACTAAATCATGATTAATCATTCAAGTTTTTCTTCTACCCCATTTCATGCTTTGAATTAAGGCGTAATATTCACAGCAATTAGTCCCCAATTACGGAAGCACACTCATGCACATGTTGAACAGCAGAAAGAAAAGTATGAACAGAGAGCTAAACGAAAGCAACTAACCTCTACAGCTCGGCGACGGCGTCCAATTACCGTCAATTCCACAATGAATTTCTTCTATGGAGTTGCCAGATGAAAACGAGAAGCCTTTGTAGCACGAATACTTGGCGACACCACCGTAGGAAACATTTGTAGCCGACTCAGCGTAACCGTTTGCAATCTGCGGCACTGCCGAACAATAAACAGCTGAAAATATTTCCTCACATACAACCATTTTGTCAGCACCGTTTTATTCTAAATAAATGAAGCGACCAAAACCGCGCTTACGTTGACAGTTGGGGAGACTGTTTTCTGTCCATTTGCCTCCTAATTGACAATGCACATCGAATGCTCGTCCTCGACCAGACGCAAACTCAAAACCAGGAGGACATGAAACAACGACCTGAAAATTTTTGGGATTTGTTAGCGAAAAATTGAGTTCTTTATTTTAAAGTTTCGCAGTTCGATAAGAACATATATAACAAAATCTACTTATGCATGAGAGTAGAAAAAAAAANAAAAAAAAACGAAAAAGAGAAAAGAAGAAGGAAAAAGAATTTGGAATTTCCGGAATTCGCCGGTCAAAGTGAAGTAATTGAAGAGTACTGAAGGAGAAAATTTTCTCCGAAGCAGACTTCAAGACCCTCCAGTTCGTTGTGAAACAAACTAAACTCAATACTGATACACTCATCAGTAGGTACACTAAACGATCACTTTGGAACGAAATAGTTATATCAACTCACCTTGGTTCCATAAGTGGCAACCTTCGTTGACAACGATACCAAAGGAGGAGTTTTCAAGGTAGGGCAATCTGAAATAAACAATTACAAAAAAAAGAACAAATGGCCTCGGTGCCTGCTCCGAAAACATTTGTTCAAAGGTAACGAAAGTCGGAACAGTGTAAAAATTAAAGACATACTGAGCGAGTAAGTCACATTGAAACCCATCGCCTGTCTGACGGCGTTGCTCATCATGACGATTTGAGCCTTACTTAATCTCGAAACCAGCTGTGCTGGTGGACGTTGATCATTGTTGAAACCAGCGCCTTCATGCAGCGCCCTACCTCTGGTGGAGCCTTCGTAAACCTGAAGAGTTCACCGAGTGACATAACGACAAACTTAGAGAAACAAGAGTAGAATAAGCCCGATCATTACGTTGTAGTGAGACATCTTCCTACGTAAAGCTCATTATAAAATCTACACAAATATCGCACACCTTGACATAGTCATCTCCAGCAATGTCGAATCGATTGAAATGAATACTGAGCGCCTGGTCTAAATATGCCTCGGGAAGCTCCATGGTATAGGTGCAGAGGACGCCAGGAGGATAAGGAACTTTCGTACTTCCAGGTGACAGCAGTGTTCCCCAAGGTTGCCGCAAAGTGACGTCGCAACCTATGAAAACGAGTAATGGTCGCACAGCGAAAAATAGTTTACATCCAACACCTCTCTTCTTCTCAAATTCTGATTTCACTTACAATGAAATGGAAATTACAAAAGCTAATAGCAAGCGACAAACATACATGAGAACAAAACAATTCTTTGCATTCAACATCAAGGAAAAGAAGCGAATCAGTCCTGTGCACGTTTAGAAGTTTTTAGAGAAACGTACCACGCTTATATCCGATCGAAAATCCTCGTCCTCTTCCTGTGGAGCTTGACAGGAAGTAGACGTACACGTTGCTTTGCGTCGTCACCAAGTATTCAGTAATGTTAGTGTTACCCGATAGCCTTAAATGGCATATTTCACTAAGTAAAGTTACATACTGTTACCTGTTTAATTTAAATATGAACCTCTTAGCGCACGACAGTATGCAGTTACTTTCTTCATAGGTAGACCTAGTTGAAATTTTATCTCACAATGAGTGCAAATGAAGTCGAAAAGGAAGTCAGTCATACTGCCGTACGTTACTGGAACAACCGAATCGTGCAACAATGCGCAATAATGCTAAGCGAGTTAAATGGATTGCACCTCGCTCAACCGCAAAAATTATTGGGTTATTTCCGCTGAATTGATTTTGGACTCAACGATTAGGTTCGTGCACTTGTGAAAGTAACGAGAAAAAAAGACAGTGCGCCATGTACAGTAAGAAACAAAATAATAAAAATCACAAGATGAAAAGTATCAGCAAACCTGGCAAGAACAGGTGAAGAGGGTGATGAGCCGTCATAAATCAACAGAGCGTCTTCCGAAGACAATGAGACATCCTCAATCTAAAAACGGATACTATTGTTTTGATTACTGTAATAAAATAATGCGGGAGCCAATTAATCTTCATTTTCCATCCATGCATACAGACCCCCTGAATCTGGAGAACTGATGAACCCTTGTTATGTACGTTACTGAGCACGATTCTACACTGATACAGAAGCCACCATCAAAAGATTTCCGGGGAAAAGTTCGTAATTCAAGACAACTGGACTAGGATAGCCTTACTATCAATATCTGGGTTTATATTTGACGATCAAATTTCCTATCTTGTAGAAACAGAGATAAAGACTCACACTCAAAGTAATTAACTGTGACTTTGGAGCTTGAATTGACCAAACACATTCGGCGCCGAGTGGGTATTTAGTTGGGTAATGTGGTGACGAGAACGTTTGACCAAAAGCTTGTGCCGTCAGCACACCACCGCATGAGAAAGGTACTGAAATCATCGTACAGACACAGATTCCAATGAATATTAATTAGAGCAATCATTACGCATATTTTGCAAGTTGCAAGTATTTTGCAAGTCCTTATCTGGGATTGAACTTTATGAAAGGATAAAAAACAAAAGAAATTCTAATGGAGCAATAATAGCGTGAAATGGAAGGTCATTCATGAAAGGTAAGAACATGGATCATTTCCCGCAACAGTCTGTAATCTGTGGGGAGCACTCTCACCTTAAGTCATTTACTATCTCTATATCTTCAAGTCTTATCAGAATAGACATGCGTACTCTCCCTGCTCTTCCTAAATATTGTTAAGCAACGAGACATGTAGAGGATAAAAAGCTAGCGGTAAAAATAGGTTGGTCAAACAAGCCAATCCAGGCGAGGCTTCGCAGCAACCTCTGAACCTGACCAACCACAACCTTGCAAAGCCTGCAAATGTCTACGTCGGGAAAGGAACCCTTGAAATCGAATTGATATCTAGCTCGGAAATAATATCCACCACACCCTTCCCACTTTTCAAAGCGGCTCTCTGTTAGAACTGTTATTCCCTACGGAGGAGGTATTTACTAAACGAGGGCGATTTGTCGCCTTATGCAAACTTCCATCTGTCACTTATATGTGTTGTTGCATCCGGTTCGGTAGTGACCAGCAAATAAAATGTCGTAACCTCAAATAGTTTAGCGCTAATCTATTGGCCCTCATTTGCACGTGTCAGAAATCACACTGAACTTTTAAAGGGGTAAAGGGTAAGGATGTTGGCAAATCATGCAACAATTTGACGCGAGTCGGTAGTAGCATCAAGAGTGGTCTTCATATAATTATCGGGACATTAGCCTACCCCTTTGGGCACAGCTTTAATAATATACATAAATACATTTCAGCGTGATCGAAACTATATGGCAGGGACACATAATGCAAGGATCACCTTCATTATTAAGATTTACACATCAGGGCACATTTGAAAAACACGATGGAGTGAATAGTTGATCCATATTTGAAATTACTCCCTTATTAAGAAATTCAGGGAAAGGATGAAACTCACTGGCTCTCCATTGAGCCTGAAACCCTCGTGCTTGAATTGCGGCGTCACTTCTGAAGCGAACGATAATCATGTTTGTCGACGAGGTGACGACGAACTTATCACTCCTCGTTCCCGAAAGTGTTGCCAACACTGAAAATTTTTAAATCTTTACAAAACCTTTGAAACTCTCTTCTAACAAGTCTTAATCAATCAGCACTTTTATCAAAGCGTTGTATTACTGTTTAATAAAACCAGAAGGAAGAGATAAGTTGCCAGTCAAGTGGAGTAATTGTTACCAGTAGTGCTGTTTTCGGCAGGGCCGCCATCAAGCACCGTTACGATGTCCACAAACTCTTCAGTCTCGAACACGTCAAAAGTCAGCTGGAATTTTTTGCTTAGTTGTATTCTATTTCTATGAAGATCTAAAAAGCCTTCGAAAGAAATTTAGAACTTCCAAAGTAAATAAAACCTGGATTCGACTATTGATCGGTGCTTCTATCACCCATCGACAGTTGGCGTTGCCTTTGTATGATGACGGATAGTTTGGGGTCGAAAATTTCCCGGATTCACCCTTCTCATACTGTAAGCAGGCCAAATCGGAGTGCGATGCTAAATGAATTCGATATTTTCGCTGGTTCTTATACATGCGATTATTGCAACTTATAGTGGCTCAGACTTTCGTAGATAACTTCAGGTCCAACGATTTCTCCCAAAACAGTCGACTTCAATTTCAGAAAAGAAAAGACTGCAGTTTGGGCGTAATCAATATATCGATTGGCCAACCTGGACAGTTTAGCTCATCACTGAGATCACCACAGTCGTCAACACCGTTACAACGCCGTGACTCTGGTACACATCCGCCGATTGCACAGAAAAATGAGCCTTAATAAAAAAAATCTTTTCGCTGGACCCAATGTAAAGTTTTGCTCTTTTTATCCCGGCAAATATTGTTTAGTGAGTAGACCTCAAAAGAGAACCAATTGATCTGAAAACAAGTCGCATATATTTTTTCTCGGAACTAGGGTCCCTCTGAAGCCTCACTTGCACCCATCTGAGAAGACATCAAACAGAACAGCTATTTTGCCAATCACAGAATCAAAATTTGTAAAACTTGGTTGTGTTGGTCGATTTTGAAGGTGAACTCTAGTCTAACTCTCTTTTGGACGGTTTTCACTCACCTCGTACACAGGCTGGCAACTCGCAAACAAACGGTCGCAAAATGTTGCATCGCTCCAGACTCCATTCCAGGTCCGATTTGGACAGTGTTCCCTGGAATAAGCTTTGTTTCATTTACACTACTTCTACGGTGGCCCGTTCTTAGGCCTTAGGCGGCAGTACAACTGAACCAGTGCCTTAAAAGCTTAGTTGGACCAAAGGATTAGTTTCACTAACCATGGCGCAGCTCCCAGCTTTATGGTTCGGTTGCGATTCTTTCCAGAATCCTACGTATCTACTCGCTGGTACACCGTCGCTCCATATAAACGCAACGTCTTCTGACTGTTGCTGTGAAGCGAGACCTGAAGCTCACCAAATAAAAGAAAGTAATTGAACTGCTGAGTGCGCACGATCGTAAAGGAACGCCATCAAGACCGACAAGCACCCCTTCGTGGACAATGGACAGGGATCTTCTCAATGGCCGAATGTGTTTTTGATATAAACTCATCGGAGATTTTAGCAACAAGTATTCAATACGAAATAGGAATTTCCCAGAAAATATGTTCCGGTAGTACAGTACTAACCTATCCAAGCCTCATGTTGTGTGCTCCTTCCAGGACGTGATAACATTGAAGCGATAAATTTATTCTCACGTGGTGTCTCGATTCGTGCCAAATGAGCACCATACCTGAATCCAGGGAGTTATTGATTTGTCAACTGCTTTCAGAAATCATTAGGTAGAATGCTTGCGTAGTTCTTACATAGCTCTATGAGTTTAAAGGAATAATGTTTTTTTTTCAGCCCAGCGTCAAGCGTTCTTGACGCAAGTCTGACTCTCGCTTGCGTCAGTGACGCTTGACGGGTGTGGTGCATTAGGAACGAAATGGCCGCGTCGCGGTGAGAGGGGCGTCGCGCGCGAAAGAATGGAGCAGGATGCAGCAGCGGGTAAGGAAGATAAGAACAAAAGTACTCATAATAGAATTATGCATAAAATAATGATCGCATATCGATCGAGCTGTATGAAGAAAGCTAGAGCTGTATTAACGGCGAATGAGTGGTCCGCGACAGCCGCGAATCGACTACCCAAAATCGTTCCTAACGCCCATCTCCCACGCTTGACAACTAACTATGAAAGAGCTCATTTCATACGCCGCGCACTGAATGTGGTACCGCGATCGACCAGCCAGACGTTTCCTAAACTTTGACGTTATTTCTGCACCTAACTGGCGCCGTTTTTACTTCTCAAACAAATATATTTCCTTTCCCGAGCTTATTTCTCACTCATATGTGCAAAAATAGAAAAAAAGATGAGAAAAACATCACAATACGAGAAAGGAATCTCAGGAGAGAACGTCCATGTAGTCAAAGAGAAATAGCTCTCCCGGCGGAAGGAGAAGGAAGCATTCGCTAGAGAGGAAACATTATTCCTCCACGGTTGCCGAACCCAAAAGCCTTGAAGCGTGGCCCTGTCATTCGTGCACGGGAGTAACCCAGTGGGTGTCATCTGTTGACCCTGGGTGAATGCTGTGAAGCCGGGTGGTTAATGTGGTCCTCTTGCGACGAACGGCACAATCGTGCGGGCGCGGCTGCAAGAGTGCCCGCACACGAATGAGCTTTCGCGGGCTTTTTGAATTTGAGTTATGCCGCGTCCTTGCTTCACTTCGATCGATAGTGATCGATCTATCGATTGGCCGAGGCCACCAGAAAGGTGGCAATACAAAATAAATATTATTGCCTTATAAAATAAGAGGTGCGTAAATAAAAACATTTCAAATGAGGTAGAAATTGTTAGGTCAGGTGAGCCAGGTACGAAGAGCAGCGTATGTGACACAAAAAAAACTTGGATCTTTAATGGAGTCAAATAGACGGGAAAATAAAAAATCTGTAAGGAAAAAAGCTCTCTGTGCTCATAATTTACTGCATTTGAACTGCAGAACGCTCTTCTTTTTTGCTTTTGTTTTTGTTATCGATTACTGCAACTATACCTGGAGCACATTAAGAGTGCCTGTGACCAGCTTTTCTCCGTATTATAAGCTTTAAAGCATTTTTGTCCAAGTCGGCTCCATCCTTCGGGACAGCTCGGCTCGATGTCGGACAATGTCGATGACGGAGGCTGGTTCGTCGTTGAACATAATGATGGCTGAAACATTGCAATGTCATAGCTGCCAATCTAAAGTTCCCTAAGGATTCTCAAGGGATGATTCCGTTTTCGAAGTTTCTCGATAGCTGGCACCCATTGAGTAAAATAGGCCTCGAGGATCGTCAGGGTTCATTTTTCGGACTTTCAATGCTATTGTATTTGTTAGTGAGCACAAGATAATCTTCCCATACGCGAAGCACAAATTGATATCGATTTTGCACGCGTAAAATCAATACTTATACAGCACATAGTAGTTCTTTATTACTGAAGAGAATTTCTTTGCTATAGGCAAGCGAAAGCACTAATAATTATAGTGATAACAATTCTAATAAGTAATTATAGTAACATTAGAATAATGTTTAATGAATCTGAGTGATAACCTACCACTATAAGCGACAGGACGACGATAAACGTCTCTCGTCTTAATAACATTGTGATGGGTCTATTGACCCTGGGTAGCTCCAGGCCTAAACAAACAAGCTCAAATTAAAATGAATCGAGATCGAGCAAGGCGATAGGCGAAACGGTAAATGCGTATGAAGAATCAGATTTTTAAAAGCCACCTGTTCATTCATATAAAATAAATGCAAAATGTCGACAGGGGAGAGAATTAGGACCATAAGAAGTTGAATATACAAAATTGGATATCACAATCAACGCCTACATGGCTCGATGCCCTTGGGTAGCTGAACATAAGAAGAAGCAGAGCGTGCGAAGGTAGGGACACGTCTTACGAAGACCACGAAATCATTCGGAAGGAGGAGGCTATGGAATTGAAGACTTAAGGGTACCACTACGAGAAGCCTCAAGGAAGAGGTGGCTGGACTTCAAGAGGGACATGGTCGAGACCGAAGTTAGAAGAATCCGTCGATAGAAGGAAGTGGAGGCAACTCTGCTACGTCGCGGATTTGACGCTAGGGAGCATAAAAAGACTAGGAGACTCGATTCGGTATATCTCTCCTTAAGTTTGTCGAGTGGTCTTAAGCCATCGGATATTACGTAGCGCTGGCCTCATGCCCAATCCCACTCCTCCATCACTTTTCCCATTCCTTCACTTCTTCCCCCTCACGAAAAGGTTCGATATCGAATGATTCCAGGAGTATGGGTGGACATAGGAAGGGGGGGGGGG